ATTTGTTTATCAGCAAATCTCATCACTTTTGATGAGAAGTAAAATAGACAAAATAAGATAAATTTTTATCATTTTTACTTAATTTATAACTAAACATTTTATCATTTCACATCAAATAACCCTCAATAAATGAATAAATTGAGTACGCGCAAAGTATGATTGAGAATTGAATGAACAAATTTAATAATACACGTGAAGGAGAAGGATATGCATCTTTCACAATAAACACCGTACGACGTCCGATGAATGAAATTGACAAGGAAGGAGTGTGAGTTGGGTGGGATAACCATGGAGTTGGGGTGGGTCGACTTCAAGTTAGATTTGCATTATGGGGTTGTTTGGGGTTGCTTGGGATGATCACATATTAGAGATGATTCAAGAATAAAGTGATGAAAAGAAACTCCAATGAAGGGACAAGAAGAAATAGATTGCAGCTCATGACCAAAAATTTATCAACTGGAAATCCAATGTTAAAGAGTTTGTAAATTTGAATGTTCTAGATTAAATTTCTTCGAGCGTTGTGTCTAGTCTTAATTTTTTTTTAATAAATGTTTTAGGTTTATAACTTCTCCAATCTTATATCCATTGTTAAATAATATATGCGATTTATGAGTGCATGGATATTTAAAGTTTATTTTGTAATAATAGATCTGATATAATCTTATCTTAAAGAGATTCATCCTCATAGAAGCCTGAAGTTTATCCATCAATATTCAATGGACAACTAGGCGTGTGGCATGTACACTATGGGATGATGGTTGATAATATTAAATGACACAAATTAAATTGATCAAAAAAATATATGAAAGGATAAAATTTTGTAAAATTTGTTAGTGAACATTGTTTCTAAAAAATTCGGTCAATTAATATATATTCTATTTAATTTTAGTATTCTTAAAAAGAAAGCGATTCGCTTTACAATTTCTAAGAAGAAGATGAGATGTAATACAAAACACAAGTTTGGTTGCCAAGAATGTTTGGGAAGAAAGAGACATTGGCTAGAGAAAATATTTGGAGTCCAAGTTTGGAGGAAAGCAAATGAGAAGAGCTGAACTATAACCTTCCGTAGGAAAATATTTTCAGAAAAATTAATTGAATGCAAATAAATAGTAAAATAAAACACAAAAAATTTCTTATAGAAATTTTGTAAATTTAATTCAGATTGTGACTGAGGTCAGTGTTTGAACATTGCGTCTTTATGACAGAAATTTGCCCTCGCCTTTGGTACTTGCGATTAATGGATGTCCTGCCTCCACGATACAACGATCACCCCACACAGAAGTTGTGCACTTTCTGTATATACAACGAACTAATTTGCGTTATGCACTCTCTCTTTTATACTTGATTATGACATATGTATGAATCCTAACACTTGCTTTACAAATGAATGTCATAGGGATGGTATTTATAGAAGTATAAATGGCCATTTATAAAGGTCATGACTCTAGAGTCGCACACTTTCATATGAAGAGACACCATGAAAGGTTGCACCCTTTCATTCGAATGGAATCTAATTCCATTCACTCCCAAAAATTTTCAGCAATCCCCCACATGAATGAAATTGACGACATAATGCAAATGAAATGCAAATACTAACAAAAGAGAGTACAAAATCGAAATATCCTGCACTAGGATAAGTAGTTTTTGGCCTTGAACATTCCTTAGTGAAAGAATATCGGAGTTACTAGCTAATCGGTGGACATGATGCCTTGAATTGTTCAGATGTTTATGTAAGTCAAGACAATAGAATTCACACAAAATATCTCCGAACACAGCTTGGTTCTTTCGTTTGTGCCCATTTTGGCATTGGGCAATTCTTAGATTCATGAGTGCTTTAAAGAATTCAGCCCTATCAATTCTCATAGAAATGACCCCTTCACACTCATATAAGTGATTCTTATTTTGAGGCCCTTAAAACACTCTTCTTGAAAGATGCCCCTATAAGTTTTTCAAGATATAAGTAATCATTAAAAACATAGCTTATCCTAAGTCCTTTGCATGTAACACATGTTGCAGATATCACTTTCATCATAGAAATGGATAGGAGATAGACTCCTTTAGTGATTTTTAGTGAGTCATCCATGATTCGGTTGTCCCTTTGAACCTAGATCTTGGGATCTCCAGTTAGGTAGGTTGGGTTGCCATTATAACGACTTGGAATTAATAGGCTTTAATCACATTTCATTCAATGAACTTTTCCTCATTTGCTCTCTGGTCAAACATTTTGTTTAGCGACCACTATTTTCTATTTGACCTTCTCAGTTATATATCATTAAGTAGTTAGTGGATCCGCAATATTGTTCTTAGACAATATTCACAATTGAGAGTAAATGTCCTACAATATTAAGTCTTTGATTACATTAAGACTTACCGTTACTCTATGTCACTATCATATTTAAAATTAAATAATAGCCATAGAGTTGTTTTTTAGGAGTTAACAAAGTCCTTTTTCTTTCTCCTCCAGCTTTGTCTAAGACAAAGCATTAAGATCTTTCGTGGACTTACCATCAGAACCATTACTTTAGTAAGATTCTCCAAGCATCCCCACATTTTAAGTACTCTAAGAAAAATTAAGGGCAAATTATACTAACAGTCCTTATAGTTTGGGGCTCGTGTCATTTTGGTCCATGACTTTTCAATTGTGACATATTTGACCACGAATTTTGAATCTTACTCCAAATAAGGACAATTGAAGATACCATTGCTTCATTTCAAGGAAAAATCGTCAATTTGATGAAATATAAACTAATTTGACAAAAATAAATGTCAAAAAAATATTTTTAAATTTTTAAAAATTATTTCTGCCTATCAAAGATAAAATTTTGTAAAATTGATAAATCTTTTAAACATTTATTTATGTTTTTACCAAATTAATTTTTATTATGTGTTTGAATGATGATCATGCAATAGGTGGTTGTTAAGACCAACAAAAATTGAAAATACCATATGTTTTTTTCCCATTGTGGTTGTTTGTTGTTATTAGGTTTTTTCTTCTTTCAGTTTATCAATATTTAGTACATTTTGCTATATTTTTTCACCTTAATTTCTTAATTTATTATTCTTTTTTTTTTTGGGCAATACTCTAGACATTTCAGTGAGTCTTTAGCGATATTCTTGACGTTCAGTGAACATTCTAGACATTCCGACGATTTCCGGTGACGTTCAGAACATTTCGGCGAATTCCGGTGATATTCTGGCAACTTCCTGGTGATGTTGAACATTTTGGTGAGTCTCCGATGACTGTCTGATGGAAGTCCGACGGTGGTGAGATGTAACAGCGTCTTTAAATTTTTTTTTAAGAACAATAAGATTTTTTTTGTAACAATTAAAAATCAACAATGATCGAGACCTTTTTTTTTGGAGACCCCCACAATCCCCTTTGGATCTCAACCATTGATGGTGTAGGCCCCACACATACATGAGTGGGCCCTACACATACATCAATGATTGAGATCTAAAAGGAGTTGTGGGGTTCTCCAAAAAAAGACAGTCCCAAGCATTTTTGATTAAAAATATATAGGACTGATTGGAGGAAGTGTTTTGTTTGGAATTAGATGGATTTTGAATTTTGTGAATGAGACTTATCAGAAAGTTTCTTTCTTTTTTTTTTTTTGAGATTTTTATTGATAAATCCCATTTATAAATGTTCTAACCCAAGAAGTCCGTGAAAGAATTTTTTTAACCCACTTAGTCCCATGTATTTATTCACATTATATAATTGACAACACAATAACAAAAATTTATTTCAAATTAATATGAATATAATGACGGTCGACATCCTGATGTATAGGAACTACCAAAACATACTAACAATCAACATTAAATATCAACATTAAGTGGGGGCATGAGAGATTGGGGGTGTTTTGGTCTTCTTATCTCAAATAGGACCTAATAGAATAATCAAAAAGAATATAGGTTGGATGAAATAAAATTCTTAGAAAGAGGACTTATAAAAAAAGCTCCCTTTTTTTATTTTTATTTTTAAATGTTTTAATATTTTAGTCTTGTCTTTTAAGAATAAAACAATAAATACATTTAAAAATTTAAAAATTATATCATATTTCTATAGAGGGCTTATTTGCCGTGAATTTTTCAATGTAATTAATAATGAAATAAAATTATTGATTCTATCAATAAAATCCAATTTGATCCGTTGTACAAATCAAATGTTCAGGAAAAATGCTAAAAATTTCAAATGTTTTACCAAATATTTTAGATAGGTGTGGGACCCACATCCCACTCTCATGTGAGATATTTGATAGAATATTTAGTGAAATATTTGGAATCTCTAACATTACTCAATGTTCAATTCAGTTGAAATCTTGAGAATTACAAACGGTGTTATCAATCAATAAAAATATTTATAACTAGCCGTTAACCCCGTATACTCCACATTTTAATTGTATTCAAGAAGGTTTAATCCATACTAAATATGATCATAAAACTAGTGAACAACTAAGTTCTGCTAATGGAACTCAAATGTATATTAAATACAAATTACCCAAAGTACATAAATTAAAATTAAAATTAAATTATGATTTTAATTATTTATTTTGATAATATTAGTGCTATCATTCTATAAAATTGTTACTTCAATACTTATATATTAATTATAATTAAATTATTTACGTATTTTGATAATTTTAGTTCTACCGTATTATAAAAGTGTAATTATCATATAATAATTTTGTATGATATATATTAAATTATAAAATAGTAAAATAAATACTTATTTTGATATTATAAAAGTAATAGTTAAATTAGAAGAAGAATTAGTAACATAAAATTAAAAGTAATTCGAACTATTTAATTTTCTTTTATATTCATTTGGAAAATAAATATAGGTAGAAATAGAAATTATATAAAATTTATTAAAAAATTAAATATAAATATGTTGTAATTGGATTATCATATAATGATTTTATATGATATATATATATATATATATATGTAACGCCCCGAAATATTGCAATAAAGACAACTCATATGCGGAATAAATATAAAAAAAACAACATAAGTTCATATATCAGAGTTCACTGTTTAGCAAACAATTAAGTGCCATATAGGCTTCCATCTTTCCAAGACATTGCTTGGTTACACAAATAGAGTCTCGCTCATTACATATTAAGCCCTTGGCTTTACAAATAACACTCATGCACACATAAAGCATAATAAGGAAACTCTTGCTTCCCGATGGTCCATCCATACTATTGCCTTGGAGGTAACATCTCACCTGCACCTGAAAATGATATTCCCGTATAAGGTGAGCTAACAGCCCAGTAGAAATACACTAAACCAGCTATGAACAATGACTAAAAGATTAGTATTTGATAGATGGTCAACACTGATACATCCACTTATATCACATTACAGTTTTATGGCATACAAGTCCATATTACTTTTCATTTTCCATTTCTTACTCATTTCTCAACTCATAACCATGGCTCAGAACCTGGCCAAGCAACTTATGTGAGGCAGTAACTCATATTAGACATTTTCCCATTTCACAACAGATAAGCATATTAGCTATATCAACACATCAACAGATAAGTACAAGAGCTATATCACACTTCCAAAGATAAGCATATGAGCTGTATCAACATATCAATAGATAAGCATATGAGCTGTATCTACAGAGTCCATCCCCTATCTTCTCCCAAACAACATCCAGTTTAGAGGTCCATCCCCTATCTTCCCCTAAACCGTGGAGTACATCTCCTATCTCCTCCAACACAACTCATCACATATAAACAATTATTATACACTTCATCAATCAATACATAAAGTTAATGTATTCTTTCAACCGTCATACTCAATGACACATTCCATTGATTAGTTTTCGTTTGCCTAATCATCATGCATTGTCTACAACAATCAAGACTATCCTCCACCGATAGCCCAAAGCAGTTATTTCTAAACAGAAAATAAATGCACCAAATGGATATAAAATCAACATGTCAACTAGGTGAGTAGTAAATTGTCCCACTACATCCTTTAGCCCCGTACACCCCCAATTCCGACAATTTCAATTTCCTTTCTCATTTCTCAAATTAATTTATCAATGTAATTAAGGCATTATTCCCATAAATTACATAACAACCCTAAGGTTCTATTTTCATCAATGTTTCAACATTAATCCATTTCTCCAAGCCAAACATGCATATAAGTTTTATATATTTAAAACCCCAACTTTTGTAAAATTTCACAAAGGCCCAAACTTTCTGAAAATTACACAGTAACTTCCAACATATCAAAATACCAAAATTTAAAGACAAAGCTCATAAGGAGGACTAGGATATCCCTACCTCAAATTCGGAGCTCAAATGGAGAAGATGAAAAGAGTTGAAACTCGATCTCCACCATACACCACAAAGCCCTCGAGAAATTACACAACTTTGGCGAAGGAACTATGGCCAAAATCCCAATGGAACTATGGCCAAAATCCAGCTCGGCACAACTAAAATTTATAACTCGAGCTCGGCTCGTAATGGCCCATTAAACCAAGAAAGAACCATAGAAGCTGATAAGCTAACCCTCTGCACTTGCACTTATATAGAAGTTTGTCCACCTTAAAATGTATCTTGTAATCGATGTGGGACTTCCAACAAGCACACCAAACAACGTCGTTTGGCACAACACTTTTGCCCACTCTTTGAGTCCCACATCGCTGAGAGAGGAAACATTTTTGTGTCCAAATGCTTATAAAGTGTTGAATTGCGGACATAGATCAAGTAACTTCGAATGCATTATGAATTTTTGTTTTGAGGGGCGCTGCCCCTCAACCCCGCCAGGGCGCTGCCCTTGGAACCTGCGAGCTGACCGGGCAGCTCGCCCCCCGCCAGGGTGCTGCCCTTGGACCCGCCAAGGGGCGCTGCCCCCTGGACCCCCGACCGTCCCAATCGAAGTGGCTAAACATAAAAGAAGGATTGAAACCGGGATTGCTACAATATATATATTAAATTATAAGATTGTAAAATAAATACTCTTAATTAAATTAAAATATCAATTATATAAAAGAAATTTAACAACAACTAACCAATTAAGAATCACATAACAACATTTAAACCCAAAAAGAAAAAATAATGAAAATATCCAAACGATAGGTACATCTCAATGTGTGAAGTGATTAATAATTTGTAATATGATATTAATATATAAAAGAACTTACTATTCAACAATTTAAAAAGTAACTCAAGTAGTAAATCTGAAATTTAGAGATTTCTCGAGAGTATCATTGTTGTGTATGTTTTCCTTATGTTAGTTGTGATTATATAAAATAATGTAGGAAATGAAGTATAATTTCATGTATAGAATCACTATAAAATTTAAATGACAAATCCATAGTATAGAATTGGTACTAGGTATAGAACAATGCACGAAAAAATAAGAAGGAAAAAAAAAAAAGAAGACAATTTAGCATTAAAAAAAATTCTAATACCCTTGAAAGAATTAAAAAGAAAAACGTGAAACGTAAACTTGGTATTGGTTTTGTGGATTATCTCAATTTATTACGAAAAATATATGGAAAAGAAATATTTGTCAAATAGAATTCATATAAAATAGGTAAAGTTAGTATAATTTAAATTAGATTTGGGTTTGTGTAGAACTCTATTTGTAATTAAAAACATACATGCTGATGTGACTCTTTTAGAAAAAAGTAAGCCTTTATAATATGTCACCTAAGCATGGGAAAAATACTATGGGTGTGTTTGTTTGGATGGACTAGATAAGAGGGGATTGGAATCCACTAGATTGTTAGTCTTGGGATACATTGCCTACAGACTATTTGGTTGGACTGGATTTGTATCTCATATTTGTTTAGTCATGAGATTAAATGTCAAGAAATGATTATTTTGTTGTATAGGATATGAATCCTATGTTTGTTTAGGATATTATGGAGGAGGACAAATGTTCAAATGATTATTTTACCATTTTCAATTATTTATTAAGTAATAGCAATATTAAACATATCTTTAATATTTTAATTATTTTTAACTAGATTAAAAAAAAATTATTTTATTTTATTTTTTACACAATTAAATAAATTTATTTTTTAATTAAAATTTTAAATAAATTTATTTTAAAAAATAATAATAATTAAATAAAACATTTATTAAAATTTAAATAATGAAATTAAATAAAATATATACAAAATTTTAAAATAAAACATCAATAAAATATCTATAAAAAATTATTTTAAAAAATTAAATAAATAAAACATCTATAAAAATTAAATAAAATTATTTTATTTTTAAATTGAGACATTTAAATTTTATTGAATTTTACTAAATATAATACATAATTAAATAGTAGAGGGTCAAAATGGTCATTTCACCAACAACGGATGATTAGTCCGGATGGACTAATAGTTCAATCCCTCCCCTCAATCCCTCAAAACAAACACCACCTACGTTTAATAATATATATATATATATATATATGATAAGAACGGTGTGGATTCGATCTAATCTACTTTGATCAGTTAAAGTGTTGACCGTCTATCAGTTGCTAATCTTTTAGTCATTGTTCATGGTTGGTTTAGTGTATTTCTACTGGGCTGTGGCTCACCCTATATGGGAATATCATTTTCAGGTACAGGTAGCATGCCACCTCCAAGGACGTAGCTTGGGAGGCCAGAGGCAGACTTTTTGTTGTTTTACTTGATGTATTACATGTAAATTCAAGCCAAGGGCTTAACGTGTTTGAGTTAGTACTCTTTGGTTGTAACCAAGTGTTAACTTGGAAAGCTGTAAGCTCATAGGGCATTTGCTTTTGTTGTTAACATGTAATACTTTTTGTAATGAAACTCTGGAAACGAAAGAATGTGGAGCTTTTGAATATCAATGCATGTCTTATTTAATGGGTTTAAAGCTATTATTTTGAGGGCGTTACAATAATTTTTTATTTAAACTAGCTAAAAATAATTAAAATATTAAAGATATGTTTACTATTGCTATTACTTAGTAAACAATTGAAAAATGGTAAAATAGTCTTTTGCTCATTTATCATATTCAATCCGTCTAATTAAGTATTGGATTCACTAAAAATAGTCATTTCCAGACATCTAATCCTATAAGAAAACAAACAAGGGATACACATCCAATTCAACCAAATAGTCCAGGGGATTCACAGTCTCAGGATTTAAGTCCGATAGATTCTAATTCCCCTTTATCCAGTCCGTCCAATCAAACAAGGTTGGTTAAAAAGTATTGAGAGGAGTGTAAATGTAGCACTTGTACCCTTTTAAAACTTTTGAGAAGTGTATTTGAATCCTTTATTTTATTTTGGGGATCTTTGGTGTTATTGTATCTTGGTTTTGGGTGAGTGAAAATCAATTTAAACTTGTTGGGTTTGATTGTTCGCACTTGTTCTTTTCAAAAGTTCCTTGGAGACTTAGAAAATTCCATTCTGGGGTCGACACCAGCCTTCCTAAGGGTCGACCCTTACCTGTTGGTGAAGTTTCTGGAAGTGTTGCTGGAAAATAGGGTAGACACTAGTCTGGGGAGGGTCGACTCTCTTATGTTGTAGAATTTGTGTGTTAGTTGCTGGAAAATAGGGTCGACCCCCTCTTGTCTATGGTCGACCGCCCTTGCTTGTGCCAGATTGTCTTTTCTACCTAAAGGGTCGACCCCTGCATGTTTTTTTTTTTTTTTAGATTTTGGGATTTGAAAGGGCCCTACCCTTGGGGGGTTTTTGGGCCTATTATTTTATTTGACATTGGGCTATTTGCTACTAGTATAAATAGAGCCAGACCACTTTTCTCTCATTACTTTTTCTCCTCTTTTCCTCTCAACCCGTGATTTCTCTCTTCTCTCTCTAAAACTTAACTTTTCGCACTTAGATCTTCAGATCTACTAACCTAGAGCCATCTTTTCACTTTGGTCCTTTGGGAAAGGTTGTAGATCTTGTCAAGGGCTTTCTATTGATCCAAGTGGTTCGTGGTTTCGTCGCCGGTGATTTTTGGGTTGTTTACACTTCACTTCAAGAGGTAGGGATTTCTTTGCTCCTTTCCAATACTTTGTCTATAGATAGACATGTGATAGATTTTATTGCATAAAAACCATATTCATTATGAGTTTTCTTGAAAGCCATGAAAGGGGATCTAGGGTTTGATATTTGTGATTGGAGTTGTTAAGTTGTTTGTTGTTGGGTTGTTTGGGAAAAATGATTTATTATGTTTATGAAGAGAGGGAGGAAAGCCCTAATTTAATGTTATTGAGTTAATGGATTTAAAAGGGAGGAAGTTGAATAATCCTTGTATTTTGCTAATATGGGTTGTATAATTATGTTTATACCAAAAGGAAATAAAAAGAGAAGTAACACAGTATTGGTATTGTTTTAGACTAATCATGTGAAGTTGAGTTGCGTTATGGTTTTGATACCAATGGAATTGGTTTATAAAATAAAGATGATGGATTTGGTTTTGGTTTTGTAAAATGACGAGAATGAATTCTTAAAAGGTTGGAGTTGTGTGGATTGGAAAATAAACAAAAGTGGTCTTTTTGAAAGAAAATGAAATCATCACCCTTTGTAAACGAATAATGAAATTGAGGTTGGATCTTGGAACCTTCACATATTATCATTGTTATTGGACTGAAAGTCTTGCGAGAATTGGATTTTTGTTTTTCTTTCGTATTAGATGCAGAAATAGATAGATATGAATGTAAATGGTGAGGTTGGATATTTGAAATCTCTCACCTATGAAAATATGGATAGTTTATCTATTTTGGAGATTGTATATATGTTTAGAAATATATGTTTTGGACTATCGGTGGAGGATAGCTATGATTGTTGTAGAAATTGCATATGGACTAGGTGAATTGAAATTAATCATGTAACGCCCTCAAAATGTTACATAATCCCAACATCCAACAGTTCTATATACATGATAGATAAATCACATTTCTATACATACATCAGAGTTAATATTACAAAAGAGTATTTCATATAAGTTACAAATGTTTACAAACATGATAGAATGCCCTGCGGGCTTACATCTTTCCAAGTTGTTACTTGGTTACACAAAAGAAGAGTTCTAACTCTTTTACAAGTAAAGCCCTCAGCTTGCATTTTCATGTAATCAACAAAACAGATAATAAAGCAGAGTCTTCAACTTCTAAAACCTCCTAAGCAAAGATCTTGAACTTGGCATGTCTCTTGTACCTGAAAATGGTGTCTCAAGTAGGGTGAGCCAAAACCCAGTAGAGACATGCTAAACCCAAAATGAGAAATAACTAAAATATTAACATTTGACAAATGGTTAACACTTGTAAACCAACTCACACCCTTCCCATAGCCTAACAACAATTTCATACATGTTTCAATCCACTTCCCTTCACTTATCCAACCCAATTCCGAAATATGGTTCATTATCTAACCAAACAATTTAAATGAGACTGCAACTCAACTCATTAATACTTCCGTTATTCACGATTCAAGATGAGACTACAACTCATGTAATTAACACTTCAATTATCAACTTCATTC